TGTCGTTGTTTTCTTAAGAGCCCCTTCCCCCCCCCCCCCAGTGCTTTGTTATTTTACTGTTCAATTGCTATAAATCAGTGAAGGTTTTTAGTGTTCATTTCATCTGTCAGCACTAACATTTAGTTTGCTCTGCAGATGTCCTGTAGTATGGCAGGTGAAGAGGACTTCTTTTTGGAAGAAAAAAGATTCAAGCAGTACTGTGAAGAATTTATTAAACATTCACAGCAGATAGGAGATGGCTGGGAGTGGAGAACTAGCAAGGTAAAATAATCATAATATTAATTCTTAGATACCCTTGCTGAACTTTTTGAGCTGTTGAGAGACACCACAAGCTGGAACATCGTCTAAGAGAGGGCTTAGAACATGTGAAATAAATGTTGTTTTAAACAAACGGTCCAAGAACAAAACAGTGCATAGGTGGTTTACTTGAGTATTTAGGCTAGTGCAGGTATTAAGAAGGGTTTGTGAATCCAGAAACAACTGCTGGGGTGGCCAAGTGCCATTTGTTGTGTAACAAAAGAAATCACCTGAGATTATTTCTGTTTCGATCAGCAGAAGTCTTTAAGACGTTCTGCAGTGTTCATTTTATGAATTCCCAATGATGGGGAAGGTCACAGCTTTCAACAAGCCTTTTGAATTGTTGGCTATGCTGGAAATTGAATTAAAAAAAAAAAAAGGGCAGTTATTTTTAATCTTAACTGCTTATTTTTAATCTTCCAGTTGTTGGTAGCTGCACCGTGCCTACTAAGATGAGGACCCTTCTTTTATCAGAACTTTCCCTGTTTTGATACTTCAGATTCGTATCAATCCATCCTTTAACCCTGTTAGTGTGAAAGCAAAACATGTTGAGCTCCCTGACTATTTGACGTGTTTTCCAATATTTTAATCAGTCTTGTGGATCTCCTCTGAATCCTTGCCAGAATATAAAAATCCTTTTTTCTTCTGTGGGCAGAACTAGACAATGAATGCTGTATCATTGTGAAATTCAACCCTTCCTGCTCTGGGCAAGTGCTTGTTCTCTATCCAAGGATCGCTTTAGTCCTCTAAGCTGGAATAGCATATAGTCATTCCTGGAGATGTGCATCTTTGTATTTTGTATTAAAATACATGTTAGCTGCATACAGCACCCAGAACAATATGTCTGTATTAATGATCAATTCTCATTATTTGCTGCTTCCCCACAACTTTCAAACCTCACCAATAATAATTACATATTGTTTCTAGGTCATTAATCAAAATCTTAAATAGCGTGGGGCCAGGACTAGTCCCACAGGACCCCATTAGTATCACTTCTTTTATGATGATTCCCCATTTTTTAAGTTACATTTGAGATCTGTGAATTAATGATTGTTTCCATCCTTCAGTGTGTGTCAGATTAGTGTGAGATTATTTTAAATTTTTAATTTCCACTTATGGAATCAACAGTTATCTTAGGGAAGTCTGAGAATATATTGTTACGACTTCTGTGTTTATTAATGAAATGTCTCTTTTTAAGTTACCCTGACAAAATCTGTTTTTCTTAAAAAATAACAAAATTTACTTTGTATATTTATTTAATGAATTTTGTATGATATCTTCTGTTACTTTGCTTGGGATGATGTCAAGCTAATATGTGTATAGGTACGTGATTTAGCCAGTATTTAAATATATATTGATGTCATATATTGATATATGAAACTTCCACAGTGCTCAAAGACTTAAAGAAAATTGGCTGTTTTTACATACTGATTTAAAAATGCCTAGTAGTAGCCCCTTCATGCTGTTGTCCTGCTTAACCACTGCTGAAATTAAAACTTGTCATAGTTACAGCTTATGGCTATGTAATTTCTATTTGTTCTATAATAACATTAGAAGTATTTTGAATACTGGCTTTTTCTACTTCTAATACTACTGGTATTTTCCATCTAACAAAAGATCCACACTCTTCTAGGATTTCTTTTCACCAGACTTTTTGATGGGTGGACAATGTAGGTTTGCATGTGTTCTCTTGCTTCTCTGACAGGCTATCAGTAATGAATGATTTGGGATTGTCATTATCTGTGTATTTTGTCTTTTTGCTGTAGAAAAGTTACTGCTCTAGCTTTATTTTTTTTTATTTTTTTTTTTTAACTTTAGTGGCTCTAGTGATTTCCCATGCTTTCATGAATTTTGGGATTAAAAGTCATGCTTGTACTATCTTGAAATGCAAGAAGTCCTGGAGTAAATGTACTCCATCATTTCTGCATAAGTAGCTGTACATGAGCATTTGTAGCCCTTTTGTCACAGGTGAACCAGAATTTCAGTAAGAATCAGGGTCTCAGCCTTAGATGCATTCTGTTTAGAAGTTGTTAGAAGAGTGCAAATATTGGCCAAGTGTTACAATGCAGCCTTTCTTACAGGCAACCAGTTGAAACTTTAGATTTTGGTCCAAGGCTGTATTTGTGAGGATTTATTCAACAAAGAAAGATGCTCTGAGCCTCTATTGGGAATTTAATACATGGGTCAGAGTTTGAACTTTCTGTGAAATAAGAAGCTTTGCTGGAAATAGCAGAATGAGATAGATTTTTGTTCTCACATATGAAAAAATGGTTAGAGTTTTTTTTTTTAATGGGCCAAGTTGGCGACTTTGTGATCTTAGTGTGCGATAAAAACCTGGCCATTGAGACCCTCCACTTATAGTGTGTGCTCTGGGAAGGAAGCTTTTTGTTAACAAGATGTCTCATTGTCTTTTTGCTTTTTTTTTACTGGTATGTGTGTTGTGGGTAGTTTAGGGCACTCGATTTTGCTGATGTGATGTGCTTGGATCTCATTCCTTACTCACGTTAATAGACCCATTGATAGCAATAAGACCACACAAGGGAACCAGGCTTGTAGGACTGTGCTCTTCTGTTCCTGTGTTTTCTGTAGAGGTTAAATTTTGATGATAAAATACGCATTGCTTTTGTGGAACTGGCTCTTGTGGCAGAAGCTCTTGTGACCCAAGCAGAACCCTGTATTTAGATGTATGCAAAATGTCCTAAACTGTGCTATTTTTATAATCTGCTATTTTATTCCCTTGAAAGAAAGGTATAAAGAAGCGAAGAGCACCTCTACTGTGGGACCTGGTGGAGCTGTTGTTAGGGATGGATAGTTACATCCTGGCCATGAAGGCTGCCTTTTTTTTGTGCTTTGTGTTTGTTTCCTGTTCAGTTAGGTTAATCTATGTGATCACATCAAAGGCTGTATCAGTTCGCTTTCACTTACAATACTCACCAGAGAGCTGGAGTAGAAGTGGACTCCCTTTCCATGTTAATGGGATCAAAGCCCTCCCTGAAGTATTGATTTATTTATAGGGGCAGAAGTGTACAGGAGGCGTGACACTACAGAGAGTGCAACAGGAGGGATGCTTCTCTTTCCTGCCACCTCTCCTCTAGCTTCTGACAGGCAGCTATCAAACACAAAGGCTGCTAACTCCAAGTTTCCAGCTATCCATAAGTGTTTTTGCATGGCACTTAAATACTACAGAATGCAAAGGCTGTGGAGCTTGACTCCTCTTTGCTGACAGGAAGAACTGGTTCAGGGAGGTGAACGCTTTATCCAGCCCTTCTCTGCCAAAGCTCATTGTGCCTTGGGGCATTTTACCTCTGTGGGTGGTTGTAGTACTTTCTTCCCTGCTCTTAGGGGGATAAATACCAACCCAGGTAGCTCTGCTTGCACAAAACTCCACAAATAAAGGCTTGAGTGTTGAAGTAAGAGAGTAACTTTTGTATCACCAAGTTAGGCTTAAATCTTCTGTCACTGTTGTCCTCTTCATGCTGGATTCTTTACTGCATAGTTGGTTCTGCAGCTAGGACATCCAGCAAAGTTTGACAGCTTTGTCCTCTTGGTGAGTTTTAGTGAGAAAATAAGGTATGTAGCAGGAGAAGTTAAGAGGAAGATAATTGCTCATATGAAGTATGATTCATGCTTAAAAATTCATACACAAAAACACATGCAGAGAGCATTATCTTTTTTTTTTTTTTTTTTAAATATGTGAAACGATGAGAACAAACTAAACAAGTAGCCCATAGCAGATTTTATAGGTACATATATTCTACAGTGTCTTAAAGAGAGAGCTGGTGTGTCAGGATAAAACTCGTGTTGATTTAAAGATCAGAATACATGAAATAAGATATGTCAGCAATAAGAGGTTAACCAAAGAGTTAAACTATAGTTAAATTTGCAGCCTTGTCAAGCAGCTTTATGCTACATTAATGAATTTTGCAGAGAGACTGTTTTGAATAGAAACCTTCTTCATCAGATGTTGTGCATATGCTTTCTGTGTTTGTCTAAAATTGTACTGAAACAGCTAATAAAGGCCCAATTTATTTATTTTTGCCTTTAAGAAATAAGTTCTTAACATGGAACTGCTGTTCTTTGGGTGCTGGGTACTCTTTCTCCCTTTCACACTGTATGTCTTTCCAGCAATCTGTTATTAAACTTCTTCTTTTCTGACTTCTGATTAAAAAAAAAAAAAAAAGAAAAGTTCATATATGGATGCAGGTAGTCAGGGCATCAAGGGGAAAAAGCTCCTAAAACCTTCTCCTGCCACGCTGAAATTGCACAAGGGCCTTTTACAACAGTGGGCTCTGTGGGCTGGGAAGCAGAATGGTAAAAAGGGAGCTAAGAGAACATATGGCTTTGCCTGTTTTCTCTTACATTTCACCCTCAGAGGTGATCAAGAGAAGGGAAGAGGTTGTAATTCTGCATACATAAGTTCTGAAGTGTTTGGGTTTTTGTTTTTCAGGACTTTAGGAAGGGTAGAGGGGGAGCAGAGCAAAAATAGACCAACCTACCAAGAACTGGAAGTTGATACTGGTGTGAATACATTGCTTGAAATGTATGGATTAAAATCATTAACAGCTGCTCGTCTCCTCATGAACTTAGAGCACTGTCTTCCAGTTCTTTGGCTACCTGATCCAGGTAGCAGTTGTCTTATTCAATTAATAGTTACATCATATTTTATCTTTACTGTTCAGGTCTTTGGCTTCCTTTAACACCAAGAACTGATATAAGCTACCTATGAGAAGATGCTGAAAAGCATGCAGTCATCAGTGCCTATAAAAAGACTTGGATCTTATGCCTAAATACCATGCTCTGTTTATTTTCTAGAACAGTGATGGCATTTAGCATTTTGGTTATGGAATTTTTCTTTTTTTTCTTCCTTGTTTTCTGAACACAGGACCTTGGTGATGGTTATCTTAGTAAAACACACTTCCAAGTGAGAAACAGAAACACCCTACCAGATCTCAAGGAGAAAAACAATGATACCAATGAAAAAACATTATTTACACATGTTGAAGTAAGTACAGATTTTAAACTCTTTTGTTTATAAAATAAATAGTGAACATTAAGTCCCTCCAGAAAGATTTCAGATCTTAAGTTACCAGTGGCTTTTAATTATTCTTCCTACAGTTGTTCTCATTCAGGTGTGGGGCTATACTGATGATGAAAATTGGGAGGAAATGGAGAGGCTTCAGCATCTTTTATGCAGAGTTTTTCCTCAGGCAAGGGTAATATTTCTTTGCACATTGATTCACTCATGTTAAGGAAACTTCTTTTTTAATTGTGGAAAGAGATTAAGCATCAAGATTTTATTATCTTAGAGGTAAATATTAATTAAAAAATAAAGACAACTTTGAGGTTAATATTAATTTGAATTGATATTTACTGAATAAATAAGTTGTGTGCAAGATTTTTATACTTGGTGTATAGTTTTTTTACTGTGGAACTAACAACATACTGATCAATTTTTTTTTTTGAAACAGGTGGTAGGCAATAAAATAGATTTGGTGTTCTTGAAGGAGAATAAACTTCTTTTTTCCAGGAAATGAAACTTGTTCATTAAACTCCTAGTGAAATGAATAATTGTTTGCTTTTTTGATTCTGCATGAGACTTCCCGATTATTGACTAATTTTTTTAGCAGGAATTCACTCTTTTTTTGTTACCATAAATAAGAAAAGAAACCTGGCATTATAATTGACTGAAAGGAATGTGTTCTATATATTATAAACTGTTGAATAAATGGACATGGTATGTTTTCCAGTTAAATTTTTCTGCAGCAATTCATTTTCTTTTCTTCCTCAGCACACTGATTTTTTTTAATTGTTTTGTTTTCCACAGAGACTCTGTTGGAGGGTCTGAAATGAGTCTTCTTTTGGCCTGATTTCCAAAGGAAATGGCATTTTAAACAACCACGCTGTCTGTTAGTCTCTGATGTAGTCTTTTCTACTGATTTTTGAGTTCACTCAGAGGTTTCAGCTGTGTTTTAAAGAGGGGTAGATATCAAAAAGTATTTGGTTCTTAAAAATTCTGTGAAAGCAGATGTCTGGCTGGATGAAGATGACTTTTGCTGGCAGGTAGAATTCTGATCTTTATGTTCTGTTTGCCTCGTCGGTTCAAGTACAGGACTGGACAAAAGCAGCACCTTGGTCCCTCAGAGTGCAACGAGGAACAGCTAGGGTGGGGTTCATGTGACAGAAGTAAGCTGGAAACAAGACCTGGTTCTGTTACCAATAAGACAACTCATTTAATCCACTGAAAAAAAGAGAGAAAATTTCACAAGCCCAGTGCTGATACATCAGATTTTATACAAATTTGAATCCATATAATCTTTAGAATCATTACCTTGCATTTCTGTGGCAAGTACCAATTATAAGCATAGTATATAAATTGTTTGAAAGGCAGCTGAGGCTTTTTAAGTTTTCTTTTAATTTAAACTCTAGTGTTTCTTAAAATGAAGGCTAATATCAATGCATCAGAGGTTGTCACTTAATTGTCACTACATCAGTGTTTGTACACTCAGACTTGACTTTTAAGAACAGATTACTGTTTACATTCAAAACTGCTTTTGATGATTGTGACTTTTTAGTAATGAATTGAGACTTCATTACTGAGTGTATTTTAAAAGAAATCTTGTAAAAAATGAGCGAGTCCTTCTCGAAAGAAGTATTGGCTATAGAAAGTGTTGTAACACTAAAAAGGCATCAGAGCCCATAGCATACTGAAACAGAGTCTTTAATATACTGAAATAAAATAACAAACAGTCTTTAATGTACTGAAATGTGATTCCAGGCCAGAATCTGTGGTTTGTCAAGATATTAATAATTGTCTCTGGAAATACGGTGGAAGATTTCTGTGTTTTGAATCGTAGAAATGCCTAGGTCGGAAAAGGCCTGGAAGATCAGCTGATTCTCTTTGAGAAGGAGCCTTTGTTCTTGTTGCATAGTAGCACTAAACATGAAGAGGAAGAAGGAGAAGGGTCTTAGAAAAGTATGTAGGCTATAAGATATAACAGTATGCATAAGAAAAAAAAAATATTCACTGCCTAATAGAAATTATGTAAAATTTATATTCTTCATTAAACGGAGGGGTAGCCAGGCTGTTAAAGTGGTTTAGTATAGAAAATGAGAGAGAAGCACAGCAATAATTTGGAAGAAAAGATGTGCCATGGATACAAAAAGTAAAACTTCATATTTAACACTAAGCAGAAAGATGGAAATGATGGCTGTAGAGGGAATAAATTTGCTTAAGCAGAGCAGTACATGTATAAGATACATGTTCTTTTCCACAGGTATTGAAAGGGAAAGTCCTGTGGCACTGTTCTAACAGTCTGTTCTCTAAATAGGTTTTGTTTTTGTAAAAATACATGTTGCACCCATAAGTCACATGGTGTTACAGAGTTGCTGCAATCTCTCTCAAAAACTTGTTGAAATACCTTCTGATGGTTAGCGTTCAGCAAAAGTTGTGATCTTGTTTCAATATTTAGCATTCTTTTCCTTAGAAAAGGTACACATTTTATTTGTATACATTTGAAGTCTAGAGGGTCTCTAGAAAGAGTTTTAATTTATTTTGGAAAAACTGTGACCATTATCTGACAGTTGCCTGTTTCACAGTTTTCAGTTTCAGAATTACTCTTCTGCTCTAGATTTTTCTATGTTGTATCTCTATTGTTTGTCTCTTGCTGAGATACTTCCATCTGTCAGTAGTCTAATCTTCTCCTTCAGTGCTTCAAGATAATTAACTAGTAACAGCAAAAAAGGAAAAATAAGGAAATTAAGGTCCGAGTAATCAATATCCATTGTTAGGAGCAACCAGTGTTGACAAAAAGACAAGGCAAAGAAATGTGCTGTGGTATATGACAGGGCATAAGAGGCCTCAATATTTTTCTTTCCTGTTCCTGGGAATCCAGTTCAGAGATCATAAATAGAATGTTAGTTTTGGCAGGCAAGGTGAAATTAGGAGGAGGATTAGAAGACAGATTTTTGAAGCTGGGTGGAAATACAGGGAAATTGTCCATAGTGAGGATATAACTCCCATTTAAGTAATTGAACCAAAGACAGAGCAGGGGAGAGGTGTTGAAAAAAACCTATGTCCTGTTGTGGTAAAGAGTACAGTTAGGATGTTGAAACTGTAGAGAATCAAAATTATTACTGGTCCATTTTTAATCTGTGAAGATATACTAAAGTATAATGATACAGTACAGAAAATACACAGAATAGCTAAAGTAACTTTATTCAAATAGAAAACCAATTATCAGTTATCACATTATCAAGTATGCAAATCTTATGAGATCTCCATTGAACCTGATCAAACCATTTGAAAAGTTTATTTCAAGTCATTGGTCATACAGTTAATGTTTACAGCTTTCCATCTTGTTGTCTGGTATCTAAACATTTGCAGCCTTCTCAGTGAAGGAGTGGTGAGTAACTGTATTCTGGTCTTTTCTGCAGAGCAGTCTGCATTATGTGCTATGCTTGATTCCATTTATACAAGTTGTGTTTTCATCTGAAAACCAAGAATAAAATTCTGTGTGGGTTTCTTTCTGCTTATTTTAGATATCTGCAATATAGAGCTTGTCACTTAGATCTTTGTTTCAGCCTGAGGAGGTAAAACAGTGTTTTTGGGTATAAATCAGTCAACCTATTTTAGGTGTCTTCTCTAGAAGATGAGTCTGAAGGTGTCTGTTTTTCTTCACTGATGATCAAGGGAAGCTAGCTGGTTAACCTGGATGTAGATGCCTGTATTTTGTCATGTGAATCTCATAAAACAAAACACAGATCTGAGCTCATTAAAAGCAATAGTGATTTTTGCTGGTGACTACACTGAGGCTGAGATTTCACTTTAATGGTAAAGCTTGTACATATTTAAGGACTGTATTTTGGAAAGCATCAACACCCCCCCCAGAAATGAGGAAGGATTTAAGGGTGTGCTGTTGAAGCAAATGACGTCGGCCTAAGCTGTGGTTGGAATCCTTACCCTGACACTGGCACCCATGTGCCCTGGAACACTGTGGTCTTTGTGAAACTGGGTGTCAGAATGGGCAGTCACAGACCTTGTGTGTGATGGTTCTGCACGTGCTGGTATGCCAAAGTACTGATGGTTTTTGGGGGTGGCAGTGGTGTGAGTCTGTATTCCAGTTCCTGTTGGAACTTTGTGCTTGCACAGAGGCTCCTGTGTTGCAGATATTGTGGGACACTGAGGATCAGCTGGTGGGCAGCAAGCTGTTGTGGTGGGAGGCAGCCTGCTCTGTAGGACCAGCAGGACTACAGCAGAAGCTGAGGATGGGTTTGGGATCTGCTGTGCTGTTACTGCAGAGAGCTGACATGTTACCTACTGTGAAGCAGGTCTTCCATTTTCTGGAACTTGAAGTCTTCTGCCTTGCACATAGTCGTCAATTGATGGCGTCTTCAGCTCACTGGCAAGCCTGCAGAATTCACACTGCCTCCTCCTTATCCTGTTCTGTGTCAGTGAACCTGTAGTATCTGCTAGTGTCCAGACACACTTGCTAATTCCTGAGCTGTCCTAGGCAGAACAGGAATTACTTTATGAACTCCTACAGAGGCTGTGTAGGGTGAGAAGGGTCACGGCTTTAAGTAGGTACAGTATAAGCATCATGAGTTGGATTTTACTCTTTGTATTGAAATGGCCCTTAACGAAAGCCTAGATGGAGGTAAATTTAAGAAAGGATCTGTGTCCACGTGGATACACTGGCACTATAAAGCCAAGCATCTGAACACAGATATGCTTAAATGCTGATAACTACTTAGAGCAATTTAAGGTTTCTCTCTTTATACTTGGCAGTAACTGAATTGTTAAGTCATGTGTCTAACCAGGTGCCTGAGGATCCTGTTTTTTGCAGACCCTGTCTTTCTGTTTGCCATCACTATTAGAAAAGGATTGAGAATGCTCCTCTGGAATGCCATTGCCTAATTTCTGTGGATTTAGTTTAATCAAGATGTTTGTTTTAACATCTGCATCAGTAAACAGAAGCTACTAATGACATTGTGACTAACCATAAA